CAGCATCATCAAGTCGGGTTGTCAGATACATAGCAAAGGCATTCGAAAATCTAGAAATTTAGATTTTAAAGAATCATAACCACCCGCCGTACCTTGCGAGCCGAAGCGCCATTTTAGGTGGACACGAAAATGGCGGATTTGTAGGACTTCTTAAAGTGAGCGCAAATCGTCTTCTGTCCTTTCAGTTTGGACAGAAATACCTTTAACTAAGTACCTCACAGGTGCTATCAATCTATAATTTATTGTATACTTGACGCATTTAAACGTATGTAAACAATAATACGAGCGCGCAAGGTACGACGGGTGGTTATGATTCTTTAAGAGAGTTTTACTGACATACATTTATGACATACATAGAGTTTCAAATAACTACTGTGTTGATGTTTAGTAGACAAGATTAAATAAACAAATCAGCAACAGCAACAACAACAACAACAACAACAGAAACAACAACAACAACAACAGCAACAACAACAACAGCAACAACAACAACAACAACAGAAACAACAACAGCAACAACAACAACAGCAACAACAGCAACAACAACAACAACAACAGAAACAACAACAACAACAACACTACCACCAACAAAAACGACAACAAAAACACTAAAATCCACAACAAGAACAACAGCAACAACACAAGACGAGCAACAATGCAAGCAAAAATACATATTTAACATATCCTGTACAGAAATTCCTTTATCATAACATACTTGGTTCCATTGTCCATCATTTTCAAATTAATCACATCCATTCTTTCATTCAGACTCTTGATTTCATTCTTGTAGCTTTCAGCTCGCTCTTCATCGACAACATCATCTTCCAGAAGCTTTCGACTAAGGGCTATAGCTCCTTTGAACGTTGGCTCAAATGACGAGATTTCTTCTTTGAGTTCCTATGGAAGTTAGAATGTTGATAACATAATTACACAAAGATATGAATCTAAACCTGAACAAAGTACATCTTATCAGCTTACTCTAGCCTGCACCACAAAGTATCAAAAAGAACATTTAGTATTTTTCTCTTCCCATCCCATTTTTTGTTTCTATCCCATCCATCCACTTACATTATGGCTATTGTAATCTTCTTTTAATGTTTTCACATCGTCGGAGTGGATTGTAAACGCGTCGATCTGGTTCTCCGTGTCCTTCAACCAATCATAAATCTCCTCCATCAACTCTTCGTGAAGTACTATTAGTGTCTGCGTAAGCCTGGGAACGAGGAAGTGACGTCACGAACTCACATTATCATTATTTCTAATGTTTCGATTGTTGTACCTTTTAGTATTATGATCATGCGCATCGTTGATCCTGTTGTGTTTATCTTCCAGTCTTCTTATTTCATCGAGAATGTCTGCTTCCTCGTCTTCGTCCACCAACCCTTTGTCCTTGCTTTCTTGTAGTTTCGTCTTTAGATCTTCTAGTTTTTCCTCCTCTGACACGATTTGAGCTTCGAATTTCTGCACAAATGGAAAAACTTCATATAACTTCCAAAAAACACTTCAATGAAAATATCGACGACATACCTCAATGTCTGTTCTCTGTTTCTGTACTTCGTTGATGTTAGCACCAACATCACTGAAGTCTTCGTTGACTTTTTCTTCCATCTCACTGGCTGTCTTATTCATGTCCGATAGCGAACGTGCGAAGTACTTTTTGTTAGCGTCTTTGATTCTGAATTTTGAATAAATGGATGGATGAGAGGATGAAAACGTGAATAGATGGACGAACAGGGGGAGGATGAAATGGGTGCATTGCGGAATAAATGATTGTGTGAATGAGCAAATGAATGGATGAATGAAAAACTGAATGGATGATCAAATGAACAAAGGGATCAAGAATTTTTGAATGAAATGAATGAATGAACATCATTACTTTATCTTCTTTTCTTTAGTCGATTGTTCAATGTTCCCAAGATGGACATTAAGCGTATCCAAAGCCTCAGTAACCTCGTTTTCTTCATGAGGATGTAGGTTCTTCGCATCGACCAAGTCTCGTCCAGAGTCTGCCAAATCATTGTGGGTACTAAACACATCGTCCATTGCACTCTGTAATTGCTGCGACAACAAATAAAATATAATTAAAATAAAATATCGTTAAGAGAACAGACTTCTTGTCTTTCATAGGAATGCGGCCTTATTAAGGAAATGCAATGGATTCTAAGCACTCGAGACAGCTAAAGTCTTAAGTTTTGACCTCGAGATAAAGCCGATTATGTTGTAGCAAGTAGACATGGGCTGTTAATGGTCATTCACGTACCTCTAGTTCTACAGCGCTTTGGTGAATAGCAACAAAGTCATTTTCATCGACGTCACTGTTGAGCTTGCGATGTGTGTCGGTGAGTTTCGTCTCTAGTTTCCAGGACTGGTCGCGCCATTTCCACAGGCGACCATCAGCGTCTTCTTTCATTTTGTCCAATAGTTTGGCATCGATACTGTCAAAGAAACGACGTTGATTGGTTAAGGCAAAGTGTGATATGAAGAAATATTGGCTGAAGCTGAGCATAATATGAAGAATTGTTGGTTACGGATGAGTATGATATAAAGAATTGTTGGTTAAGGATGAGTATGATATGAAGAATTGTTGGTTAATGATGAGTATGA